TGTTATATCAATTTTGATCCCGAAACTATTAGCAAATGGAAGTATTGGGGGTACAATGTCTCCGTACGTTCATGAGATGGGCGTGTCAGGCACCGCACTCGTGGTAGGTAAATGTTCATGATTACTGTCTTGTGGATCATTGCCTATCACTGTATTATTGTCACTATCAACTTAATCCAATTCAGGAATCATTATTTCATCGCCACTATCATCATCAGAAAAAATCTCGTTCACAACATTTTCCAGCTGGTCTGTAGGAAAACGAAGACACTTGCTGCAAGAAGCTATGGTGAAACTGAATGAATGTGAAATATTTTCTGACCTTTACCTTCTCAGAGGGTTCTGACAGTAATATAGACCCCCACAAAGTTTACAAGGGTTCTTTACAAACATGCACAAAAACTATCATAAATATGTCTTTGGTTGATGAGTGCCAAGAGAGCAAAGAAGGGACGAGATTGTCAAAGCGTTAAAACATGCCAACGCCAGGGAACGGCTGGCATTGTCCAGGCGTTAAAACACGCCCGCGCCAGTCAAAGAGTTAAACATCATCTTTCTGCTGAACATTTTCCTGACAATGAAGCTGTAGAAAGGGAAGTCACCACCTGGTTCCGACAGCAGCCCAGAGAATTTTATGCTGCAGGTTTTCAGGGGCTAGTGAAACGATGGGACAATTGCCTCAATGTAGAGGGAGATTATGTTGAGAAATAAAAGCATTTTTCAAATCAGTACTCTTAATCCATTTGTAACTTACTCATTGACTTACCCTCATAATATCTATATATATATTTCTTTTATATGAACCATGCTGTTCCTATACCAACAAACAGTGCAGTCTAATGCATTCCTTAGAGTCTTAGTGGAGCAGTCTTGCGTAGTATGGATTGCATCTGGAAGACCTGCAGCTTCCTTCAGGACCTTTTGTGGCTTAAAACACTACCATATACTAAATACATAATACAAAATGTGTGTTCATATACCCTTCAAAAAGTAATATGAGCTATAAAACTGTAGGTTTGGTCCTAGCACCAGAGTCCATAATCCATCCATGAACCTGTCGGGGCTTATGTGTCAATCCTATATAGTGAGTTGAAGTGAATTGGAAGTGTTCTATGAGCAATAGTGTGGCAGTAGTTTATTACACAACTGGAGAGAACAGCCAGGGGGTCTTGCTTGCATGCATTGCTGACTTTTTCTACTTAAACAGACCTTCATGACTGATTACTGTAAAAAGTGACATTCATCTTATATTTTATAAGAACTGCTGGAAGTGACTTTCCTTCTGCCTTCAAGAATGCCTCACAATGCACAGAAAAGTTTTTGTGACACCCAGTTTTTACCAATTCACAAGAAGGGCGATAAAACTGACTAGTAATTATCAGGGGATATCACTGCTATGAACTTCATACAAAATTTTATCCATTATCCTTCTCTCAATGATAGTTCATACATAAGTAAAATTATTGGGGATAATCAGTGTGGGTTTTGATGTAATAGGTCAACTACTGATCAGATTTTTTTTGCATCCATCAGATGTAAAAAAGGGTAAAGTTATCACTGTACTTAACTAATTAACCCCTTCACTGCTAGTAAGCTGAGTAACTCTTAGTACCCTCTGTGCTGAATTATTTTTGAATAAATCTTTCGTAAATAATTTAAGTGCAAAATATGAAAATATGTGATAAAATGTAACTCATCTTACTTCAGACATGGAACAGGCAGCAGAATTTAGCAAAAATGTTGAATTATGCAATATTTTTCACAAGGAAAAGTCCATTTAAATCAGGGTTGTCCAAGATGGCCAAAAAAGTATGTAATTCACTATCCTAGTCTTATCACTGTCACATGTTGACCAAAGTCCACAACTTTATTTAAAACTATTATAGAAAGCACCGCGCACTATACAAAGCCATTTTTACTAGCCCTGTGAAATACCCATGTCACATGACCATGGAGTGCATGCCTCGCTGTGCAGATGCAACCTTTTACATTTCTTAGGCTAGAGGGCAGAAGAATGCAGCCATTGAAATGAATGATGCTTTATTACATTCCCAACAGATGACTATGCACCCGCCAAGTTTGAATGAGATTGGTGCAAAGAAACCTGAGATTTGAAACTCTAAAATCGCAATATGGCTTTTGTCGATCGCAGCAAGGACGCCATGTTTTTCAGAGATCGACATATGTCGACCACAGCAGTGTAAGGGTTAAGCACTGTGCCATGAAGGCATATGGGGGAATGGATATATAGATCCACATTTTCTTGACCTTGACACTAGTTGGAGGTGAGTAGTCAGCTTTACACCAGGTGAAGGAGCCCCCAGTACCCATTGGATAGGAGGCTGGGCGAGCCCCAGAGCAGGTCTGAACAGCATGGAGAAGAGAAAATTTGTGACCCTACTGGGACTCAATCTCCAACTCCTCTGTCATCCTGGCCGTAGCCAGTCATGATACCAACTGAGCTACCACAGCTCTTGCATCTATTAGATACTGGAGAAAGAATGGGAGTGCAGTGAGCCAGTACGTCAGCTATTCATAGGCTGCAAGAAGGCCTGCTTTTATGATTCATTTAGGAGGAAAGTATTTCACAATAATCTCACAATTTGCAGTACCAATGAAACTAGTTAGGCCAATTAAAAGGCGATTAAATGAAACATATAGTGAAGTCAATATAGATAAACATTTGTCTGGTAAGTTTCCTAACCAAAAGGGTCTAATACAAGGAGATGCTTTATTGCCATTACTGTTAAACTTTGCTTTAGAATATGCCATTAGGAAGGTCCATGAAGATCAGGTGGGGCTGAAATGAAATGGGGATACCATAAAGAACACAGAAACTGATTCTAGTAAAGAAGTTGATCTAGAAGTAAATGCAGAGAAAACTAAATATAAGTTCCTGTCTCATCACCAGAATGCTGCAAAAAATTATGGCATAAAGACAGCTAACAGATTCAAAATGTGGCGCAATTCAGTTATTTGGGGATGACAGTAATAAATACAAATTTGGTCCAGGAGAAAATTAAGAGAAGGCTGGATTTGAATAATGCTTGCTACCATTCAGTCGAGAACCTTTTGTTTTCTGCTGTCTAAGAATGTAAAAATGAGTGGATACAAAACTTGTAATTTTGCCTGTCATACTGTATGGGTGTGAAACTCGGTCTCTGACATTGAAAGAGTTACATAGGCCGAGGATATTTGAGGAGCGTATATTCGGAAGGAGGAGAGATGAGGTGATAGGAGGTCGGAAAAAACTGCATAATGAGGAGCTTCATAACTTGTACTCTTCATAAAGTATAATTAGAATTATGAAGTTGATGAAATGGGCAGGGCATGTAACATGAATGGGGAGAAAGAGGAATGCATGTAGGATATTGATAGGAAAGAGTCCACTAGGAAGACCAAGATGTAGGTGGGTGGATATTGAAAGTTTCTTGGGGAGACAGGAAGAGGGGTGTGGACTAGATTGATCTGGTTCAGGATATGGACCATTGGAGGGCTATTGTAAACATGGTAAAGAACATTAGGGTTCTATAAAATGCTAGGAAACTATTGAATAGCTGCAGTATTGGCGGCTTCTCAAGAAGAGCTCAGAGTTAATTAGTATACTAATATAAAATCATAATATTGTACACAGTGCAGTTACAGCAGCCACACAGAACTCTTGCCATTTAGTGAGGGCAAATACAAACCCAGCATGTTTGAATTTCCCACTGTTGTCCGAATACCGGAAGTGTTGAAAATTAAATCTGAACTTTTTAATTTGACATTTTAATTTTATTACATTTAAATTAAATTTATTAAATTGACATTTAATTTTAATTTGACGCCTTTCACTGGCGACGATTCGCCTTTGTTCGTCCCGAGACACAGCTTTTTTATTTTAAACTAAATACATTTTAAAGGAAACTGGCCTAGATGTGTGTGCACATGTCTTTAATTTTGGTAGGTAATCCATTTTCAACTTCAAGGTGGTAGCAGTGATTCATCTCTCAGGCAGTTCGTTAATATTAAATAGTTACTTTGTCTTTAGCCGTTGTGTTATGGTTACGTTTAACGAACTGTAAATGGACACCGAAGTTCAGGGTTTGTTTTAATCTTCCAGATTAACTCATGAGGAACTCAGAAAAGCTGAAGCATCACAGTGTTAACAACCATCAAAAGGATCAGTCATTTGCATGTCGTTTGTCACACCCTCTACCGTCCTTTAGTAATTCATGCCAAGTGCCGTCTTAAATAGGTTTTGCCCCTATTGGCTGCTACGACTATTGTGACGTAGAAAATTAAAGTTGTAGTTAACTGCAGTGAAAAGTCCCATAATTTTTTTGAGCAGATTGCGCCGTATATGATTGGGTTATGTGAGCGACAATTTGTTGTAAATTCTTTCTGTGAAGTTTTATCATTTTTCAGTGTACGAACTTTTCATAATTATTAACTGATAATTTGACTGCTAGCTGTCATATGATGACACACTGTGGAAGTAGACTGAAAATAGTGAAAAATGTTAAGGTAGTAGAAAATACAGTGCAGCGTGAAGTAATATTGAAGGAAAAGGAAGTTTTAAAGGTTAGTGCACAGGGGTTGCTGTTAATTGGAATTGGTATTGTTTGTTGTTGTGAATTGGATTTTCTGAGTAAGAATGTGGACTCTTAACATTAATGTTGTAATGTAACATGTAGATGGGGAATAAGTAACTGCAATGGGTGGACATTAAATTGCCCACGTATAGGGAGTCGCATTTTTAATATGTAAAACAAGTTAGGGTTTGTGATATCTGTTTAGACTCTCGTTATATTTAATGTAGGCGACATTCTTGTAGGGGAATGTTCCCTGACATGTATGTGAAAATTTAATAAATGAGAACAATTTAATCATGTTGAATAATAGACAGTTTGTTGAAGGAATATTTTGCGACTTACACAAAGCCTTTGATTGTGTCAATCATGATATACTTATCAAAAAATTGGAGTTTTATGGCATAACTGGAAAGTTTGGTGCCTTAATTAAATCTTACTTGAATGGAAGATATCAAAGAGTAACCCTTGGCCCTAACAGTTCTATTAATATCTCGTCTAGTTGGGCAGAAGTAAAATTTGGTGTACCCTAAGGTTCAGTTCTTGGCCCACTTATTTTCCTCTTGTATATAAATGACATAACTAAGGTTTCAATTAATGGAACAAACATATTCTTATATGCAGATGATACAAGTATAATAGTGACTAATCCGGAATATGCCGACTACAAATCAACCATGACCAGAATATTTTGCAATATTAATACATGGTTCAGAACCAGTCTGTTAAAATTAAATATTCATAAAACCCACACTCTTCAGTTCACTTTAATGAACTGTGAGGATCATAATATGCATAATAATATTGATCAAAATTTACTGACTAACTTAGAGTGTATACAATTTTTAGGTCTAAATATTGATAATAGGCTTTTGAAGTCTATGAATAGCTGATGTACTGCCTCATCGTACTCCCATTTTTTCTCCAATATCTGACGAGTGCAAAAGCTCTGATCTGTAGTTGATCTGTTACGTTGAAACCCACACTGATGATCCCCAATAATTCCATCTATATATGGACTTAACCTTGAAAGAAGAATATTGGACAACATTTTATATGAAGTTGATAGCAGTGATATCCCCTGATAATTACTACAGTCAGTTTATTACCCTTCTTGTGAACTGGTACAATAATAAACTCCTTATACTGATCAGGCAATTTTTCCTTATGCCAAATAGAAGTAATTAGATTGTGGATCTTAGAACATAATATTTTGCCTCCTACTTTAATAAGTTCTGCCGGAATTTGATCACTACCTGGTGATTTATACCATTTCAATTTTCTGTGTTAGGTGGGTCCCTTGTTACCACGGCATGGCGTGTCCTCAGGTTGCAGATGGAGGAGACGCCCTCCAGTTTTGGAGGGAAGCTGCGAATATATTGAAGAAGCTGTCCTGGACAGCTGACAAGGGGTCGCCCTCCAGCTTGGGGGTTGGGCATGGGGCTAACAACTCCTCACCGTAAAAATGATTATGTTACGAAAATGAACACAAAGCCTGAGACCTGGATGGATTCCTTGGATACATGACCTAAGCTAATGAAACAGATACCACAAGTAACAAAATTTATAGAACAGCGCAGAAGAAACTAGAAGGAAGACATTGATATGATGTGTTCAGACAGCAGCCCAAAAATTATTTTAAAATATCAACTAAATGGCAAAAGAAGTTTGGGAAGACCTGTGATGTCAGTGGGCCTAACATTTGGAAAGGGTGGTGGTCTTGAGAGTTAATTTCTTATAGTCATAAGCAGTACATAACTACCATATTTAATGCATTGCTCCTCTTACTGTGTCTGCCCATCTTCAATTCAGCCATGTCATTTTCTGCAAATGTTTATATCCTTAATTGTTTCTGTTACACCAGTATAAGGAATAATAAAATACTCATTTTTCAAATAAAGGAGAACTCTTCCATTTTGAAGTGAAAGAAATGAAGAATACTTCATGCTATGAAACTTGGAAGTTTGTCATTTCTACAGCTTACATAACATTGTTAGGGTGCTTAGATTGAGAAAGGAATGTACAAGACATCTAACGTGAATGGAGTAAACAATAAATAGCCAGAGAACTGTGGCTGAGAACCAGTGAATTGGGGTGAAACCAGCAACTGATACAAGACTAGGACTAATCAGTCCCAGTCTTGTATCAGTTACTGGCTTAAATGCTATGAAAGGATAATAAAAACAAACAAAATTTCTGGTATGATATTTTACAGACACTTGTTTTGTTTTTTCCCCAAGTCCATCCTACTGGCGTGTCTGCATTTGAGAGAGAGAGTGAAGTCCTAATCTGTGTTGATGTGTTTAGGTTGAACCAGATGAATGTGTGAGTTCCATTCACAACCGACATACCTCTGAAAATGCTGTTCGTGAGTGTGAGGAGGACTTTGAGTTTGTTATGGTGAAGAATGAATTACAGGATGACTCATTCTGTGAAGAGGGTTTCGGTTTGCCAGAAAGACAAATTTCAAGAAGGTAAATATTAACGTGTTCTGCATATTATATTTTAATAGTGGTAAGGTGACCAGACATACTGATTTTTCTGGAACAGTCCCAAATAATCACTCTTTGTCCTGGATTTTTTCAAAGGCAATTTGAGACACTGATTTATCTGTAATATGGCTAAGGTGTGGTGGTTTATCCCAGTTCAAGAGAATTTTTCTTGACAGGGCATTTTTGAAGGTTGAGAAGTTGAGATGGTCATATTCAGTCATTTTGTCATCACCCCTGTTGGCAACATTGTTGTTCACAATGCTTACTTCTTATGGCAGCATCACACTTTTCTTCCTAGAATGGTTATGTGCTGTGATTGGGTTTTGAGGTTATCCTGACTGTATGTTGGTGGGTTACCGCAGGTTGCTTTTCATTTGCGATTTTTATAAATAAATATGCATTTACTGAAAATAGAAATGGGTCAAAAAAGCCTAAGTGCAGTATAGTTACAAAAGGAATTTCCATTTATCATAGAGACCAGTGCTGGAAGAAAAGTCATTCCTCATAACCATGTAGACCTATGCTATATGTGCAATACGTACATTTGACAAAGGCGAAGTGTATTCAGAAGAGACAAACCAGTCCTCCCATCAGAGAAGAGAAAAAAAGGAAACTCTGGACAAGATCCTCAGGGGGCTTGGTGCCAAGACGAACTGATTAGCGGTAAACTGCCAGTCATAAAGTAACCTTGACTCTGACTCTGGCGAAGACCAGTGTCGCAGACTCTTGCGTGAGGTGCAGCACATGTGCGTTGAGTTTTTCCATCAGCTGTAGTGAACGTGGTGATATTAAAACTCACTTAAATAGTGATAAACACAAAAGAGAAAATTCTGCAGCTGCATGTAGCTCGTCATTAAATTTTTTAGGCCTGAGGAAATTGGTAATAATGAAGAGCAGTTAAGCACAACTTAAGGTTCTTTCGCATATTACACAGTTTAACATGGTCATATTTTTAGGTTTGTGGATTGTATATCAAGGGTACTCCAGATAACATTAGGCCCAATTTTACATGTGCGCATACCAAAGCAGAAGCCATAATTTTGAACATGTATGAACCTCATGCTCTAAGTGTATTGCACTCTGATCTGGAAAAGGCCGAGTTTATTTCAGTATTGACTGACATATCCATTCTTAAAGAGATCAAGAATTTTCCTGTGATTGTCAGGTATTTTGATTATAAAACTGGAGTGAAAATAAAAATATTAGAGCTAAAATTGTTGCCTGGTGAAATGTCTCTTATTGTAAGTGATTATTTGAGTGACTGCTCAACAGAAAATGGTTTAATAGGGAAAGTTGTTGGACTGTATGTATATAACATGAATTCAAATTTTGGAGGTGATGAAAGTAAAGGCAAAAACAGTGTTCTCACCAAGTGGCAGAAAAATTTAGTCATGGTCTGATAGGAGATGGGTGTACAGGGCACATTTTCCCCAACACTGTTCCAACAGCTACTGATTTTTGTCTGTTGATGTAGAGATGATCATCTCCAAAATATATTTATATAGTCTTATACAGTCAAGAGTTGAAACTGAAGGGGTTTTTGTGTCTTTGTAAAAACAGAGTTTGAGATAATGTTGGGTTATGCTCAGATGAGTTGACTAGCACTGCTGCATGCTGTTGAAAGAGTTCTTAAATTACTCTTGCCTCTAAAATGATATTTTCAGTCTCAGGACAAATGTCCATTGTTTCTGCTGAATTTCTTTGAAAAAAGCCTATGTCTGAAGTATGGCTGTACTTTGTTCACAGTCATGCTTCATCTTTCCACAAAGCAGTGAAAATGGCAGAGGGACAGAGAGTCACTATATTTGAAGTAATTTTTAGCATTAATAGGCTGAAAACTACCTTAATGTTCAAACTTGAAAACCGTTACCTTCCTTCACCTGTTAGGACAATCCTTGGAAAGCTGGAAACAGAAGAACTACCACCTCAAGAAGAGGTACGAAAGTTTCATGTCACTGCACTCTCATTCTATGAAACTGCTTTGAGTTACTGGAAGAAATGGATTGACAAAAGCTTTTAGGACCTGGAATCCTATAGCTGGGTAACCTTGAACAGAACACCATCATGGGTAGACATTGAGAGAACTTCATCTCTTGTGATTAAAACTTTACCATCTGTTCATTTAGCTGAAAGTGAAATGTATGATGAGTATGTCTATGTCAAGCAGTTACTAACTGGGGAAGAAGTTTCTGAGTGAACTTCGAACAAAATTTTGCAGCTCAAAGATGGGTTGAAATGGTCTCTCACTTCAACAAAAACCATGTTCCTTTCTCAGATGTACATAAGTTAGCAGAGTTCCTTTTCTGCCTTCCTGGAACCAGTGCTGCCATTGAAAGGGTATTTTCCCCCATGAATAGCATATGGACCTGTGACAAAACTCAGCTTGGTGTGGACACTCCAAAGGTAATGTTAGTGACTAAGGTAAACTGGGTTGAAACTTGAGTTTTTTAAAATGCTTCTGACAAAGAAGAGGATGCAGGTGAGGTCATTCCCCCCCCCTCTGTAGTTTGTAAAATCTAGGTTCGGTATGGTATTTCAGTGAAGATTTACCAATGGAAACTAAGAAATTATTTGAATCCCCAACAGAAGTTTTTGCAATATTGTTATGATAATCCCCATGGCTTACATTTTGTCCAGGGGTTCTTCCATTCACATTCAGTTCTGGAGGTTTCATCCTTTGTTAAGATTTTGCTGCAGCTGTCATAAAATTTTCATTCCAGGTTCAGTGTCATGATTTATTTCACACATTTGTTGTTGAACACCTCCCAACCCTATGGGCCTCCATGACCTGTTACAGGGATACCTTTACTTTTTACTTATATGTTTACATTATTACATTATTTATCCAGTATTGCTTTTATAGTAACAAAACTGATAAGAACTTATGGACACGCTGTATATATTTCTTTAAATTGAAATCTAAGTATATTATTAGTTATAAAAAATTACTACAATTTTACAAGATCACATGACAGTCTTACTCCTTGTTGCAGCAGCTTTAAAATGATACTACAGTTTGCCTGTTACTTGTCATTAGTAGGATTGAGGGTATGAGTGCTTGAAAATTACTCAAAGGATCCAATTTTCATAGTTTTGCACAGTAATTAAAATATGACAAATGAAACCATGCATTAAAAAACCTATAAAGGTTTACATTTTTGTGTACTCTTATAGGCTGTACACATGTTGTAAAGTTTATTAAATTCATAAACTGTAACAGTTATGCAGTGGATGAATTTTCATGGACTGACCATATTGTTTTTTGCTGCCATATTTCAAGATTGTTATATGCTGGAGTGTGATAGGTGGATAGGTCCCAGTGTTTTAGAGTGACCTGCTATTTTCATTTTCAGGGTAGAAATTCTGCCTTGATAGGTAACCAATGTTTGGGTGAACCTACTGCCTCCATGTGTAGCATAAAACTTCTATCATAACCAGCATCACATCCCAGAACACCATAATTTTAATATTCTATGCTGTAAGAACCTCATGACTTATAAACTGTATTTCAGCTGTGAAGAATTGAATGATCTTCATGAAAAATCTGCTACTGGTGCTGGTTGTAGTGGATTTTCATCTGAGCGACATACAAAGAATGTGGACAATACCCAGTTTGCACCTGGTAGTAAGCAGACTTTTCATATGTGTGGAGAATGTGGTAGGATTTTCAAGAAGCCCAGCAAATTGAAATCACATGTGTTAGTTCATACTGGTGAAAAACCTTTCAAGTGTGAGGTGTGCAACAGAGGATTTAAGTCCATATACCACTTAAAGACACACTGTAAAATTCACACAGGAGAGAAACCGTATGTGTGCAATATATGTGGCAAGGAATTCTCGCAACCACGTCATTTGAAAACGCACATGCTTATCCATACGTGTGAGAAACCATATTCGTGTAAAGTGTGTAACAAAGAGTTTGCACAGCTGGGAAATCTCAATAAACATGTATTTATCCATACTGGAGAAAAGCCACATGTATGTACTGTATGTCGTAAAGAGTTTTCTCGACTTGACAATTTAAGAACTCATTCTCTGATCCACACTGGTGAAAAGCCTCATGTATGTGAAGTGTGTGGCAAGATGTTTCAGCATGGCAGCAATTTCTTAAGACATAAACAGATCCACAGACGAGACTAGCTTTGAATTCATGTGATGATTACTGTTAATACAGTAGAACTAAACTTGTTGGAATGAGTCAAGTTATATGCTTGAAACAAGTACAAAACATTATATTGTAAGATTGCAATATCAGGAGTAAGTGTTGAAATCTGTAAATAAGTATATACAGGATGTCCCAGGAGGAATGTGCCAAACTTCAGGAGGGTGTTCCTTATGTTAAAGTATGCCGATATAACCCAAAACACCTATGTCCAAAGTTGAACGGTTATGGAGATAATGGCCAGAGAAGTGTGAAACTTTGACCGGTGTTACACACTTGTTGATTACAAAATACATATTAAAACTGGCAGGAATATGTGGTTTTTGTAATGTTAATAATGTACATAACATCAAACTAACTTGTGAATGACATGAAGCCATAAAATTGAAGTACAAAATAGTTGCTCGCCATGTCATAATTGTCCTTAGGTTTCCAAGCACTGTACATGACACATGACTGGCAAGCGCTGATGTAACATGGTTGACTGCGCTATAAGCCGACAACATAACTGTATTAAACGTACATTCACGGAAAATCTCTTTTGGAATTTCGTTTCCATTATCTCATGTGGATTATTATGGGACCACGTATGCACATTTCGTAAATTATTTACACCGTCCAGGGTAAAAGATGCCTCATCACTGAATAAAATGACGCTTAACAGTTCGGGGTGAGCTTTTATCCAGTGGCACAAATCCATACGCTGTGCATGGTCGCCTGGTTCCAGATGTACCCTTTGATCATGGTAAAGATACAACTTCTTCATCATGTAAAGTTCGCCACACCTGCATACGTGATCGCCGATGCGACAGGCCATTCTACGAGTGGACAGACGTGGACTTCTCTGAACCAAGAACGTTCTCTCGTGTGTTTATCATTCGTACATCCTCCCTTTCAGAGTGCACAGAAACACTCGGAAGAGAACCAGTATCACGCAGCGTCTGGTGAATTCGCGTAAATACACTTCGACATGTAATCCTTTGATCAGGAAATCGCCTTTGGTATTCTTCAACAGCAGCATGTGCATTGCCACCGCAAAATCCACACACAAAATGCATATCACAATATTCCACGTGTGAAAACACAAAAGGCATTTCAGCAACTCCGCACAGTTAACGTACCACCCATTCACGACCCGGCTGCAACGTATACTGAAGGGAGCTTACGGCTAGTGTGAATCACCACACAAGGACAAACATAGATAAGACGTCTCAGCTGACAGGTATAGTGCGTGGACCCGCCAGAAGACCACACTTTTCTCGGGCCATTATCTCCATAACCGTTCAACTTTGGACATAGGTGTTTTGGGTTATATCGGCATACTTTAACATAAGGAACACCCTCCTGAAGTTTGGCACATTCCTCCTGTGACATTCTGTATAATGTCTCTATGAATATGTCAGTGTTATAGAAACTTCTTGAAACATATAGTTCTTACAGTGAATTAATGATGTCATTTTTTAGTATGGTAGCCAGTACCTTAGCACTGGTAATGGTTTCCTTATATGAACTTCATTACATTGTATATTACTACTATACAGCCAATTTGTATGCAGTGCCATATTTGAAAGAAACTGTTGAATTTTTATATACATTTAAAGGCTTACATGAAAGGGGGGGGGGCCTCTGGTTATATGTACACATACATCTTTTTTATGAATGTCTTACTTTTCCATTCCCCTGCCTTTCCTTTGCGTTTGTCAAGGCTGGGGTAGCATTTACAAGCATTTGAATCCATATTTTTTCAATAGTATATTTAATACTTACTGCCCTTATTTTCAGATAAGTCTGGGTGTGAATTCTCTGTCTGGCAAATTGCTCAGAACTTCAGTATTTTATTGACAGTATCCTAACAATATATTCATGAACGCACTTTCATTTTGACTATTATTATTCATCAGTTCAGTGCTGGACGCAGTAAATACATAGCAGTACTATCTGATGCTCAGGCATTTGGAGTTCATTCACCTTATACAGTAAATAATACCTAGTACCATAACCCATGGAGTCCAGTGTTCGCAAAGCATACCTCTGTCTACATAATATTTTATTGTAGCATCCTGCGTTCTTTGAGAATCCATTACAGTATGATCAACATAACTGTCATGAAGAATCATCATGAATTCTTATGAATTTTCTTTGGTCCATTATTGCAGTGTTTAACCATTTGCAGTAAAGCATAAATAACATCTGTAAGTGGAAAAATATGCAGAAATTCAGTACATATATTGCCGAACATATATGTAAAATATAGGTTATGGGTTCGAGATCCAACCGGTATTCTTCACACATGGTAATTCAGATCAGTTTAAGGTGGAAATGAGTATGTTTTCAGTGTTCATACCCATCAGTTTTAGGGAAAAGAATATCTTTCCAAGGTTCATATAGCAAATATATTAATGCATTAACCTGTATGGACTAATTTGAATATAACATCATTCTCAGCGCTTTCTTATCTCTGTCATGAATTTGACTGCACCATGTGTGAGTCAGCAGCTCTGGTAAGGATATGTAAATTGAGCCAGGTCCCAAGGACCCAGCAGTGTATTAAGTGCTAGTTATCACCAGCTTCATTGTGAGATTATGGAGAACCTGAGAGATGGAAAGAAATGCCATTTTAATTATTAAACAAAGGACCACTGATTGATACTGATGATATTAGTGGTTCAGATATTGAATGTATTGACCACTGTACCTTTCCACTTCATCAGTATAAATTGCCAAATGAAAAGGAGGAAATATTTTGTATGGCCTTCTAAGTTACCCTGATAGCTGTACTTTTTTCATGTGTTTCAAATGTTTCTTGAAAATGTGACCCCTTCATGGTGACATTATGTGCCCTAAGTGCACAAGTGTAATGTAATTACAGGTTTGAGAAGTTTTAAAATGCTCATAAGGATTCACACGTGTTTGTATAGTCCACTTTTACAAGCTTATGCAGATTTGCTGGAAATATCTGTCAAGCATTACGTAGGATGGGTGTGCAAGTGAGCACTTGTAAATTTGCTCATTATCACACCAAGTACTCTAATGTTTAACATTTTGTTGCATATTTCATATAACCTCTGGTTTAAAACCTCACATTTACAGATAGGAATATGAAAACAGTTAACTTTTTTTTTTTTTGGAAATGACTTTTGTATCAAATTATAATTTAATTGTTGATAATGTGTTGAAGATGAGATATTGCCGAACATTTTCAGCTATATGATATGTGATGAAGACAATGATAATTTTTTGGTAACTTTCATATTCAGCATTTTTATCTTGTATAAAAATGAAATAAATAAAAGTCCCAGAGACCCAGAACTGCCTTCAGTGTAACTATTTTCAGCCATGCCAATTAGAGGTTAATGTGTTTGGCAGCAGAGGCACACCATTGAACTTGAGACCAGAATTCAGAGGATATTTTCAGGTTGCTAGAGCATAAAAGCACTTGAATTAGTGATGCTGTGTTTATTAGATCAGGAGATGCTATACTTACATTATATTTTAAAATTTGTGAAGTGTTTATGGTAGTCTATTTAGAACACTTTATAACATCTTTGTGGTGTATATAAAAGTCTTAGGGAGAACAATAAACATGGCAAGTGTTATTTTATGCACATTTGAAAGTGTTAAATATAAGTAGATAACATTAGCATGGAACATTTTTCATTCTGCAGAGTGAAGATTTTGTAATGAAGGCGAAAGAATGTTTTAATTTATTGCTAACTGAAGTATACTTAGTGAGCTTTTTCTTTTTGTTAAATGTGGACTTTGGTGGAAGAGTAATGCACTTCGTCTGTCAAGTTCATATCATGGTTCTACTGTCTAGAAAACATACTGTATGTAAAGGCTGAAAATTTCTAGGAACTCTGAGCTCATATGGAGCATTAAAAAAATGACATATCATAGGATGTTTTCTATTGAAATTTTGACAAGTTCATGATAAAATTCAATATATTAGAATTTTATGTCATGGTGTGTTTCTGTTGTGCTGTAGGGATAGATAGACACGTATACTTGATCTAGATACCTCAGGGAATGTTAAATTTATTAATACATATGATTAATGAATTTGATAGTAATGTTACTATGGTGTTAATCCTTTTAGGAGTGATTCCTTTCATTTAAAATATTCAGGAAAAAAATAGGAAGTAGGCCTATCAGGAACATGGAAGCAGTATTTTCACAATCACAGGATTCTTACTTCAAATCCTGGTCAGGGGTTGGCTATCTTACAATTTTCTTTTATAGTGTCCCTCAGTCTTAACCAAATAAATGTGCAGATGGTACTGTAATGTGTGCTACAGCCTCCCATGTACCAGCCACTCTCAGTTCACTGTGTATAATTAACCTTACGTTTTTAATCGTTACATAGCAATGGGTCTACATGTCACAATAAGTTAAACACAGGATATGAAATATTGCTGTGTGCACACATGCATGCATCCATCCATTCAGTAAACTCCTGGTTTTCCAGTATTCAAGCATCTGTTTCATACAACCAGCAAAGATTTTGGAGAAAAATTTGCCATTATTATAAAGTTACATTGAAAAAAGTTGTGATGCATATATGTTCACCCACCATTCAATACTTCTCCAAGCCACCACTAGCTGTGCTGCTAATAGTCACCTCTCATGCAGGTGCCGTCACAGTAAAGGCTAGTGGAATTTGTGACCATGTTGCAGTATATCCAAAACCTTTCACCAATAAACATGCTATATCACCTACGAAGACTGCCATGCAAAAATAAACTAAAAATATATATTTTTTTCTTCCTTTGGGGTTTCTATAAGAACTTTTCAGATTCAGTCAGCAGATTCATGTTAACTGGGAAACCCCATATTCCATACATGCCAGATTGTTGGGAGTTTATTGTATATCACAAAATTACTTTTTTTTTTCAGTGCCTCTTCCAGCCTATTCAGGGCTCTGGCCTCTTATTCAGTTCTGTAATCATTTTTCACAGATGATAGGACTCCTTGGATGAGTAATCAGCTCATCACAAGGCCTCTACCTAAACACAGGCCAACACAAACAGAATAAATGCATACACACACCAAACATCCATGTCCTAACCTTTGCCATTCACAGGTAGTAGTCAGTATCACAATCTGCTGCCCTGAATGATTGGACATCAGGTATACTTGAATGACGTCTCCTTTCTATCAAAATATGGTCGATTTTATTGTGTGTCTTCCCATCAGTAGATGTCCAACTAAATTTATGGATGTTACGATGTGGGCACGTACTCTTGACAGCAAGATTTTTCGATGTGGCAGAGTTTACTACTCTAACTCCATTATCATTACTAATTTCATGCAAACTCTCATTCCCCATCGTTGGTTTGAAAATGTCTTCTCACCATACTTTGGAATTGAAGTCTCCTAACAAAATTTTTCATAAGGTACTTTGGGAATTTATCAAATACATGTTCTGTGTTCTACTGGCAGTGCTTATATATGCATGCAGAAACTACGATGCAACAAACATAGCACCTCCACAGAAAGTCCTACGGTCCCTCCTCAAAGAGGAGACCCATGTCGAAACACATATCTAGGAAAGAACAAAAATAATGGTCGTTGATCTTGAGGAGACTGAAGCCAGGAATGATTGTTCTGGTGAAGGCCAGCAACAGTTTAAGCGACCGACCACGATTAGTTAGTTGAGAGTTGACATATTGAGCAATGAGTTAGCTGCAAGATGGTAGCCACCTGACAACATTGAAAGCACAAGAGCAGGAAATCTTCATTATTGGGAACCATAACCAAGCAATGACTAGCAAAGACTGTAACAGACTGAGACTCAGGATATACTATAATGATTTGTTAAGTGTGCAGATAAGTGATAGTATTATAATTACCTGTAATTAGGAGTTCTCTCTTCAGTGAAAACTGATGCAAGGCCACTTGGTCTCTCTTGATTCTGCAGTATAATTTTATTCTCTTATATGACAAGAAGTCTGAAACTGATTACAGAAGGGATTGTAATTACTGACACTAATAAGATGTCATTACTGAAATCACTACTTTTACTTGTTCATCTTTCTGTATGGGACTCTTTCATGAATGTGTTTGTCTTTCAGTGTAAGATCATTGGTTCAATCCTCAGGCATGCAGAATAAAGAAAATATTGAACATTTCAAGTGATGATTTAGGAAATTGTTCCATAAAGGAATGAAACTGACTACTTAGAATTCTTAACAAGCCTTTTGCTCTGTCAAATAGGTAAAGTAGTTTTCATGCTTATCAGACTTTCATCCACTGAACTTTACTGCTTGTCTAATGTTAAATGTCAGTAGTTGTGTGAATATGCTGGTGGTCGAATGAGAATTGGCAGAAGAAACTGAAGTACTTGGAGAAAACTTGCAACAGTGCCACTTCGTCCACCACAAATCCCACATGACCTGAGATGGTATCGAATGCAGGATGCTGTGGGGAGAAAATGGTGAGTAATTGTCTAACCTATGGCATTGCTCCCCTCCTTCCCAGTGAGAACATTTTCTAGGCAACGACATTGAAATAAGCAGCTATGCGACAGCCATTACTAGGCAGCAGCCCGTAAACAGCAACAGAGGAAAGGTGTTTCTGTGTCGTCCGTGCCGAGATGTTATAGTCAGTTAATGAGTTAGTCACTTCGTAAGGCACAGATCTGGAGGACCGAGGGGTTGGAGTTCAAGTCCCATTAGGATCAAGACTTTTCTCCACATCATCCAGACTGTCTCTGGGGTCCACCCAACCTCCTATCCAACAGGTACCGGGGGCTCTTTCCCCGGGGATAAAGCGGCCGGGGCGTGAAGCTTACCACTTTCCTCCAGTTAGTGCTGAGGTCAAGAAAATGTGGATTATACATCCACACCCCCATATGCCTTCATGGTGCAGTGTGTAATTAGTTAAGCACAGGGACAAATTTACCTTTTTACCTTTATAAGCACAGATCAGATCAGTAATGACTTATGACTGCCCAGTCTGGTAATTAGCGGCAGACACCCACCTCTTAAAATTGCAGCACCTACAGAACAATGCTCTTCGCACCACTGGAAATTTTCCAAGGTGCACTTCAGTCAACAAGTTGCACACAGCTTTCTACCTTCCACATGTATAGGATTATATAACAAAATCGTGCAGGCGACAAACAGAAGTCATACAGAATCATGTGAATGTACATGTTCATGGTGTAGGACAAGGCAAAGCCAGGCATAGAAAATATCAGAGGCTTAAACTTGGCAGTGGTCAAGCTTATGACCATTCAAGTAGCTAAGCTGCTGTTGTAGAATAAGATACATAAGATAGGCATGATCTGCTTTGCAAAGCCTGTACTGACAGGACTTATGTATAGTGCAAAAGGAAGAATTTTCAGTAACATGCTATATTTATCACATGACAATAATATAGCGTGTATTCAGAAGCATCATTTGTGGAATAAACTGAATAAAATACTTAGTCAAATGTTTCAACAGACTGCGAATTATCTTTTAGAATTGTTTTCAGAATACAGAGGAAAACTATTAGGGTACAGCCTGAGTGCAGCAGGGCGTGGGCAACTTTATGGCAGGGACAGCAGTGGCCACTGCAGTGTCCTCAGTGCACCTCCAGCGTTCAGCATTTTCAGGTGTTTTCATAGCAAGAAATATACGAGACATATTTGTAAAGTATTTCTGTTGAATGTCAGATGTAATTAAATAACATCTTCTGTAGCAATGAACAATGGACATGTTTATACATATCTTTTGAGAAAACATAAGAGCATAATAAAATAAAAATATAAATACTTTATATCCCAAGTTTTACTGCAATTTCACTCCATGTTTTCTTTGCTGTCGCCCTGCTTTTGTATAACGGATGGCGAGAGAGCCATATTTCAGGTTTTCCTTGAACTTCCAAAATTATTTCCTCAAAAGACCTCTTCCAAATGCTCCAAACGCTACTGAAACACAAACTGGTTTGACCTGCACTCTGCACGCTCTTTTCCACGTTAGTACAGCACGCTGCCCGCTCCGCTCAAAACGCTTGGTCCCAGGACACGCCAGTATATTCAAATGGGTTTGTGATGCACGCTGCACGCCCCACTGCACTCAGGCCATACCCTTAATGTCTAAGTATAGCAAGTCTGAGATGTCAACTCCAGACCTTTTGTATAAGGAAGGTTGGTAGTGACAACACCATCTTGTGGCCATTATTATGCTGATGTGTTGAAGGGATGATTAAATAGAGGGTATTTAGGTTCTGTCCTTGAAGAGGGCCAGTCAGCTGATAGGAAGCATGGAGAGAAGTCGTAGGTGTGTGTGGTGAGCAGAAACTGAGGAGGGTGGGGGAGAAGTCGTGTGTGGGTTTCAAGGTATGATGTTAGGTATTAAAAAAAATAGCAAAATCAATGAAGACCTAGAAAGGAAGGAAAGACTTAAGGTTGATGGGTGCCTGGAGAGGGCAAGGTTGGTGGCTGGTAAGGACGGTGTGCATGGAACTGTGGAGCACCCAACTAGAGAATTCTGTGAGAACGTTTCATAGGTTCTTTCCTGTAACAGGTGAGGGTGTCCATGAATTTACTAGGTTGAAACCACCCTTCATGTTCATTTTATTGGGTTGGAACTCAGTCACCTCCCAGACGATACCTATCAGCAGGGATGTCACTGAGCTCAGTCCCAATAATATGAACAGGGAGGATGGTTTCTGCCTAAGCAAGTCATGAGAATATCTCACCTGCTCCCTAAAAGATCATAGAAAGCCACCCTCACATGATTCTCTAGTTAGGGTCTCTATGGGACCGTGTAGGCCCCCATATCAGGGAACCAGTCCCACTCTCGCGGGTACCCATGAACCATACGCCTTTCTTTCATTTGACCGCCTCCCACTGCTGTTCTTGCTCTTGTTATCTTCAGTCTCATGACCACAACCCCCTGCCCCCCCCCCCCCCCCATACATATGACTNGCACAAACAGCCCTTTTCAGGGACACAGTACTTAATATTTGTCTGCTTCTGTGGCTTGACCTACATGAGATAAGTCATAATCTGCTGCACAAAGCTTGAACTGACAGGCCTTGTATGTATTGTTATGTATGTGCTATTAAATATATACAGATTTTCGTAAAAGTGACATGCATGGACTGAACAGCAACATTCTCAAAGACCATTGCAGTTCCTATTTTAGTCTTGCTATATTGTGTGTCACAGACTGAAGTGTGGGAAGTGGAATAGTTCAGAGGACTGAGAGTTTGATTCTCAGCAGGGGCTGGAGATTTTATATTTTCTACAGGTCCAAGACCAGCTCTGGGGCAAATCTAGCCTCCTTTACAGTGCATACCAAGAGCTTTGTCCCCAAGAACAAGGTGGCTGACATGTGAATCTGACAAGTCGTCTCCATGCAGTACCAAGGTTAAGAATGATGGATCGATTTCTCCAATCCTCATACGTCTTTACGGCGTTGTAGTGCATTAATTACATACATGGATTATTTTACTCTTACCTTACAGAGTGGAACTTGAACTATCACATAGTTTTCAAGCTTCAAAAAGCAAAGTTTTCATGCAGCGTACATCAGGCATCCTACAAGTCGTTCCTGAAATTCCGTACACTAATTTATTCCCTCATGAGCAATGAATTTTGAAGGAATTGAAGGAAGACTAATTAAATGGAGACTTTTCTTGGTAATGTGTACATACACCGTGATGAAGCGGATTTCGATACCGAAATGCCGTAGGTGAGAACCGAAGTTGTTTAATTTTGCCTTCTTGTACGTTAGTCCTTATATTTCCTACACAAACGTGTTTCGCACTAATGCAAGTTCAAATTTTGAACCTGATAAGTCGGCCATGTGAAAATGCCGTAAGTGTACGGGCAGTCGTCTTCTCGGTGGGAGATTACTACTTCGAGCCTTAAAATGGGGCGAATATTAGGAACAGAAACATAAATACAAAGCATATTAATGCGCTCATTGTAATAGTTGTATAACCGGACACCATCGCGAAGAAATAAAATAATATTAAATCTGTCCCGTTCCAATCCAGCGAAGATACCACTGGCATACCAAGGAAGGTTTTCGATGGTTTCGACCGTGTAGGTACCTGCAGATATTATCACTGTATGTGGCAGGTTTTAATATTATGGCAGTCATAAACGTCATAAATACTTCAGCAGTCATTGCTGAAAGTAAATAACAAAAACTGCAGTATTTGATTTTGAAAGCACATAATCGATGACATTTGTGGTTACGTAATGGTTGGTATTGTGTTTATTTTTATCCGAAATTTCTTATTATATGGTAAGGTTAACAGTAATAAAACGTATGAGCTGTTTTTGAATACATGTATTTATATCGTCGGCGTCGGTCGGCATGTCTTTTATTCAGAACAAGTTGAAACTGATGTTAGATGTTCTCAATTTGAGTAAATGATAGGTTAGTTTTGTCTCGCTTTGAAAATAAATTATTCTGGAAATATTTTAGCTACGTTTATATACACCATCATGTGTAATTTACAAAAGAAACATGGAAATGCATTATGTTAATTTTATAAACAGTCATTTGGTATTCATAATCAAAAAATGTTGGGATGTCAGACAAGTATTGGATGTATGAAATACAAGACAAGTTTTGTAACACTGGAAACAATATCATACCATCACATGTGTAGTGTATTGTAGTGCAGAAAGAAAATTAAATGTAAATAAAAAGCACCGATATTGTTGAAGTCGTAAAACACATTGTAGCGTAAAGCACCTGTCCTGTTAGTGCCTTCAACAAATCGTTGGTTAATTTGTGTGTCAGATTTTTTACATTGTGCTATTATTATGTTTTAGGACGAGATTAGACATTTCAGGGCCGTGAAGGATTAAAGCAGTGCTGTGATAAATTCGCTAGAGAAAATGGTCAGTACATTTGGGAGCAAGTTTTGGTTTCCGGTAATGTATTTTAAACTACTGACCATGCTATGATTCACAGATGGCTGTTAATTTCCAGGAAATCAAATTCATACAGGTGTGTATAATGTGGCCTTAATGCTGCAGGTAATTCTTCATAAAGAATCAGAGTATTTATCTGTGTTGATTTTTGTTAAAAAGAATAGGTTTGAGTAGAAACTTGCAAACATAACTAACCCAGTGATATAGTGATATGTTATTAGTATGCAGAAAACTCTGGGCAGCAATTACCCCAGATCTAGAATCACTCACTTATGTACAGAGAAATATTTTTATCACCCTATGGTGTACATGCCTAGCTTTGTAAAGTGTAATTGTAAAACTATTTTTGGTATTTCATTACTGATAATATTAAAAATATCTCAGAAAGGGTGGTTAAAAGCCATGATGATCTATGTGGGTAGATGTATAAAGACATAATAGGACGTTATAAATATGTCATGTTATGCCACCATGAATGTGTTTACTATGAGCTTCTGTATTTGAAGAAGAGAGAGTTTGACATTATTGGCCAGAATTAATTTAATATGGTCATTTATACTAATTAAATAACTAACTCTTTGGAGCTGAGCCCTTCTTGAGATGCTCCCAGTTGAGCAGCTACTCAAGAATTTCCCAGCATTTTGTGGAATCTGAAGGTTCACTGCTGTGTTTACAGGAACCCATCACTGGTCCAAATCCTGAGTCATATCAATCCAATTCATACTACCCTATCCTATCTCTAAGATCCATTTTAATATTATCCACCCACCCACATCATGGTCTACCTAGTGTTGTTTCCTTCTGGCATACGGTCCTTCGTACTGAATAAATATAACTGATAGGTGTATGATTATGTGAAAATGTAGTCCACAGAATTGGTTGTGCTGCTAGTGCATGTGGCATATAGGTTTGTGGGGTGAAAGTTAACAAACTGAAAATATTAGTGTGAAGTCTATATACAGTGCGTACAATCAAGTGCGCGCCGCGGCTGCAATTTGCCGTGAGTCATACCACCGCAGAACGGATGCAACTCCTCCCCGCGACTGCAATGCCGTTCCCCGATAGCGTGAGTGTAGTGGTGTCGCTGAGCCTCCGTCCATCAGTTGCTCTACATGCACACATTTATAAGAATACAGTAAAAAGATAACTTACCGTGGTTTATAACAGGTGCTGAAAGTGACCTCCTTCTGCTTGCAAACATGCCGCGCATCTCACAAATAAATTACGCGACACTCTCTGCAGTTCGTCGACGGTAATTGAATGAATTACGCGTGTAATTTCATTTTGAAGACTATCAATGCTGCGGGGATTATTTTTGTAGACTTTTTGCTTCAGGTTGCCCCAAAGATAATAATCAGAAATACTGAGATCTGGGGATCTGGGAGGCCACAGTCCTCTACTGACAATTCTGTCTTCAAACACTTCCTGTATTGCGACCATGATGTGCTGTAGAGTTGTCCTGCTGAAAATACCCGTATTGTTTTTCTTCGGCATTCAACTGATCGAAGAAGGGATTCAGTATGTCATTAATGTACCGATCAGAGTTCACGGTATCGTGGAAAAATATGGGGCCAATGATTCGCCGCGGGCTTACAGCACACCACACACCCACCTTTTCACTATGTAATGGCACTTGCTGTATAGCGTGAGGATTTTCATTGCTCCATATTCTTACGTTTTGTGCATTGACGTGGCCACCAACGTGGAACCACGCTTCATCAGTCATGAATAGAAGCTGAGGATCCACTATTCCATCGTGTACATTTTGCAGCAGCCAGTTGCAAAAACGAATTCTTGCTGCATGATCTGGTTCTTTCAGCTCATGCACAACTGTTACTTTATACGGGCGAAATTTGATTAACTTTGTGGCTGTGCGAGCAGATCCTAGCGAAACACCAGTTTCCTGTGCTAAGCGTCTTAACGATTTTCGAGGACTGATCTGTAATCTTGCCTGAATATCCTTAACCTTTTCTTCAGTCAGCACAGTTCTCTTCGATTGCTTCTTCTTGTCACTCACTGAACCTGTGGCCCGCCACTTTTTCAGAAGCCTGTTTACACACGACTTTGTGGGAACTGGCGAGTCAGGATATTTCTGACGAAACCTACGTGCGAATTTTCTGTAAATGTTTTTCCTTGCAATAGTTTCGACAATAAACACACGCTGTTTAATAGTGAACTTCATTTCCACCGTCTGTCGACAGCTGTAAACATTCCACTCCACTTCCACAGCAAGACAGAGACTGACTGTTTAATGCAACCTCGGGTTCCGATTATGCAACCATTGGCGTAGGAGCACTGCAGTCGCGGGGAGGAGTTGCATCCGTTCTGCGGTGGTATGACTCACGGCAAATTGCAGCCGCGGCGCGCACTTGATTGTACGCACTGTAGTAAAAAGTATTTGAAGTCATATAATCAATTTTAAGAAGTGTTGAATGAATGATGACAGTGTGTTTGTAATTATAATTTGTAAACTTTGATGTTGCATACACAAGCTTGTAAGTGTTCCTCTTTTTGTTTTTTATTGTATATTTATGTGGAAGTGGATTTTTTTATTTTTATTATGAAGTGAAAAATAAGTTTTCATCAGTTATAAGTGCAGTTTTCTTTTCATGGATACTATAACTTTGTAACTGAAATATTTGTCTTACAAACTTGTAAGAATTTGGATTGCAGATAGCTCAGAATTCCTTGCAAATCATGATTATTTATAGTATAAGTCGCTGTTTACAGCTGAAAAAGTAATGTATTATTACAATATCATTATTTGCTGCTGTTCATTCTGGCATGAAAAATTGGTTAATGTTCTGTATTAGACTTAAAATACCAAACAAATAATATGCAGCAGTTGATAATAAATGCAGCACTGACTTGTTTTTGGCTGTTATATATGTATGTAAACAATCATATTAATACACTCATAACCAGTCCATTTCCTCCCCATATCAGTCTTCAGTGGGATCTGATTTATTGTCAATAGCGAGCGGGGGAGAATGGGCTTCTTAGCTGTGATTTGAAATTTTAACAAAATGTTGATCATAAATGAGCACCTATAGGTTCATGTGTGTTATAAGTATATACAGTATTCCATTGAAGATGTTTCTGCTTTTACAGCTGTTTTTAATAAAGGACAAAGATGTGACCTTTACTGGTGACTCTACATTTCTCCAGACTTACACTCTAGATGTTAATGCAGGTCATATAACACAAGACTCAAGAAACATGTTATCACGAGGCATACGTCTCTCTTCAAATAGTGATGAGAAGAATTGTGAACATGTTTCTTCATCACTGCAACAGCTTTTCAAATGCCCTATGTGTGAGAAAATTGTTTTTGAGAATGGAAACTCAGCAACAGAGGCACCACGTCACTGCTCTGAATGTATAAAGAAATTTAATATGCGGCACTTTTTGGAGTCACAAGATGATTCTGTCATTTCAAACAAGCCCTGTAAATGTACAACTTGTGGTAAGGCATTCCGATACATGAGTTCACTAAACAGGCATCTAGTTGTGCACTCTGGAGAGAAACGTTACACTTGCCCTGTGTGCAGCAAGGCATTCACACAACAAGCACACCTTAAGACTCATGCATCAATGCACACAGGGGAAAAACCTTTCCGGTGTCCTGTATGCAACTTGGCCTTCTCAAGGAAAGGAAATCTTAAGAGACATCTTCAAGTACACAAAGGAGTTAAATTTTATGAATGTGATGCTTGCAAACCGCGTCAAGTGCACCGAAACAACTAATCTATGAACAAGTTTTCCTTGTTGATAAATGAAATGATTTTTTTGATGAAATGATGAATTTTGTTTTACAGTATGGCTGCAAGTTATCTAAAAAATGTAGGATGCCCAGTGTAATCTGCTAATTCTAGGCCACAAAGTAACTTGTTCTTAGTGTAATATCCTTTATGAAATATGCGGTGGATATTGAATGCTCTTTTTAAACTTCTGCCATTGTAATTGAAAGCAAGTAAATAGCTTCCTAATGTTGCAGTTCTGTGTATAAATACTCATAACATTGTAAGTCCATTGAAGGTTTGATTAAAATCTCATTTGTACAAATATCATTTCTGTTCAGTATATTCTGCTTATGGCACTTCACCAATGAAGACTGATTCCACTGGTATCACACAAGACTGTAGGAGGTACAGCCATAGCCATTAAAATATATCAAATCAGATTGACAGATTATTCAGAAGTGTTATATTAACTTCTGAGGTTAATGTCAATCCAAATGACATATTTTATAATTACCATACATTAGTTACATTGATATTGTATATATTGTCTGTTCATGTCATTCACAAATTTTCTAATATATAGACATATATTTTTACACTTTCGGCCTTGAATGAATGATTAACTGGGAAACATACAGCGTTATTGCTTCCTGAAAAACTATTCATTATCGTGATGTTTATTACTTGTATTCTTTTTTTCTCTTATTAGAGCTGTAGGATGCACTCTAGCACAGAAACACCATGTATAAAATTGAACTTTATGGTCTGCATTCTGTTGTGTGTCATACGAAAGATACATAATGGGACAGTCTACACAACAATGATATTGAAAGAGACAAAATAGACACTACTCTGTCAGTATTTGTTTTATTATTTGTTTATAATAGGAATATGTAAGTACACATACTAAATAACCCAAAGAATTTGCTTAATAACAACTCTCACACACAAGCTCCATATTATAATCTAAATTGCTACAGCCAATTCCACGTATAAACAACCTAAGAATGATACCCAGAATAACGAGTTTTAAATAAGACTTATAAATATCTTAATCACTATTTAATTCTAATTTAAATTTTATTTTTTTTATCCTTTCAGTATCAAGTTTTAAACTGTATTTGAACTACATTTAAATTAACCTTTAAGAGCTGAGCGACACCATATGGTGTCATGAAAATAAAGTCAAGGGGACGAATGACGCCATATGTCGTCGCGCAGTCCATGCATGCGGCCGGCTTTTTAAAATTTAATTTTAAGTTATAAATTCTTTTTCTACTTACATGATTTTTGGTCACCAGCTTTATAAGTTGTCTCTCTTCCCACCTGCGTCTAATGGAAGTTGGCTTCGTGTGGAAATCTTGGAAACATCCGGAAATCCAGGGTCCGACGTCGCACTTCACGCACTTTGTCTAGACGGTTCTTCGTTTCCCACGCGAAAAGCACACACGACACCTCAATTGCGAAGTAGAGGAAGTCGGCCAGTGATGTGGTTTGGCCTCCTATAATCGAGATATCTCCGATAAAACGGCAGGGGTTCGACCCCTGGGCCATTGATGGCGAGGTGGACCCCTTCCAGCATGTTCCGCACAAGAGCGAGACGAAATTCTCTGTGTGACAACAGGATGTAACTGTTCAGATCCAGGAGATGGAAAAATAGTTTATTTGTCCATTTCCAGGTTCGATGACAGATGCTATAACTGTTTGCCACAGTTTGCCCACAGCTCCACCTGAATAATTATTCACAGTCCTCTTGCCATGCTGGTGTGGTGGTCCCCAGGTTGCCGACCAAGATGATGGGTCTTCGTCGAAATCCATTTCTGAATCACTTTCCTCAACGCCACTCTCAGAATTGTCGGTAAAACAATCTGATTCGGAGTCATTTATGAGTTGAAAAATGTCTGAATCTTCCAAACGAAACGACGCCATGGTGAGCTGACAATATCACTGTTCTCGCTGCGAAACTTTGAAGCTCTATGACACTGCTTGGCTGTGCTTGGCCTTGAGAGTTGTGATAAACTAACTGAGCCTGGTCAGTACAGAGAAATTGTTGTGTATAAACAATCAACGTTCTTATAAATGGAGATATACAGGCCCACATCTCTGCATACCAAAGAAGGTACATGTATATGCTTCAAGACATGCGAGACTAAACATAGATTATCTTCATAACCATCCGCTGTGTTGCCACATCTGCATAGAGCGTTCTTGCTTCCAAGAACTATATGAATTCTTGTAGGCTGACGACAAATTTGGGAATTTTATACTTGGAATCAGTCTAAAAATTTTTACACATTTTATAAAGTCTCTAAATTACAATATCTGATTCTATATTCTTTCTAGACAAAAACAGCGTTTATTTGGTTCGTTTATCACAAAAATTGTAGAAATCACAGCAATTTTAGGAAATGATTACAGTTTTTATTGCTTTAATATTGCGGGTATTTAAATCAAATCTGTCCCGCTGCCGTTACCGGAATTTAAAGGGCCGTCACTTAAAGGTTAAAGCATATTTGTTAGTATGAATATTCATACAAACACAATATGATCCGTATTGAATGATGACAAATTTAAGAACTATTACCACTATTCTTGTAGGCCTGAAGATGACCCAAGTAAAGGGTCAAAATACGAAGGGGGACCCAAAAATAACCGGAACTGACCTGTTGTGCGTGCATGCTTTGTAGTTACGAGTTGTGCTGCTAGGTGGTGTTAGCTGGGGGTCTCCCGCGACTGTTAGTGAGTTGGCGTCAGTCTGAGTTAAGTGGTTTGTCTGTGGTGCTCTGTTGTGTGCGTTCCTGTTTCAACCCTTTGGCGATTAGTGAGATGGCCGACCAGAAGGAACAGAGTGTGCGTGAAATTTTGCTTTCTGTTAGGGAAAACTGCAGCCGAGACTGTTGGGATGCTTCGGCAAGCCCTTAATGATGATGCTTTGGGGAAATCACAGGTCTATGAATGGTTTTCCCGTTTCAAATCTGGCAACATGTCAACAGAAGACATGCCACGCCCCGGGCGTCCTTCGACAGGAAGAAATGACGAAAACATTGCCAAAATCAAACGTGCAATTGATGAAGATCGTCGAAAGACCATTGACCAACTTTCTGAGGAAACGAACATCTCATGGAGCACGGTCCAGCGAATTTTAACCGAAGGTTTGCACATGAGACGGGTGTCTGCAAAATTTGTTCCTCGCTTGCTCGGAGATGACCAAAGAGAAAACCGCGTGAATGTTTGCCGCGACTTGAAGAGTGAAGTGCAGAACGATCCAGAATTTCTTAAAAGAATTGTGACTGGCGATGAGTCTTGGTGCTACGGGTACGATCCAGAATCAAAGCAATCATCAAGCCAGTGGAAAACTCCAACTTCACCACGACCGAAGAAAGCGCGTCAAGTGCGATCCAATGTGAAAACAATGTTGATTTGTTTTTTTTATGTGAATGGCATTGTCCACAAAGAGTTCGTTCCGCCAGGACAAACAGTGAACCAACATTTTTACCTGGATGTGTTACGAAGATTACGAGAGAGTGTGCGACGAAAACGGTCCGAAATGTGGAGAAATGGGAACTGGTTGCTTCACCACGACAATGCTCCAGCCCACACAGCTTTGATGGTCCGACAGTTTTTGACAAGCAAAAACATGGTGATTGTGCCTCATCCACCTTACTCACCCGACCTGGTTCCGTCGGACTTTTTTTTGTTTCCACGGATGAAGAGAAGTCTGAAAGGAAAGCGATTCCATGATGTGGATGAAGTCAAAGAAAACACGCTAAAGGCTTTGAACAGTATCCAGCCTCAAGAATTCCAGCACCGTTTTGAGCAGTGGCAAAAGCGTTGGGACAAACATGGACAATACTTTGAAGGGGACTAATATACAGTTCAATAAAAATGCAAAAATAAAAAATAACAAAAATAAATTTTGGTTATTTTTGGGTCCCCCCTCGTATGTAGCATTACCACTCACAGTTAATAAAAAAAGTTGACTTAATAGAGTCTATTTTGTCTTTTGTCAGAATTATTGTTGTGTAGACTGTCCCAGTATATATCTTTCATATAAAGTTGAGTTTAAAGTCTTTGGTGCAACATGATGTGAATAGGTGAATATGCATTCAGTTAGCAATATGCATGTACATGTGGTAGTGTAGTTGGTTGAGGCACTATGCTACAAGCTGGAAGGTTGCAGGTTCAAGTCCTGATGAGGCGATTGGATTTTTTCAATTGACCTAATCCTTCCAGCTGCACTATGGCCCTGGGGTTGACTTAGCCTCTAACAGAAATGAGTACCAGGAATATTCTTGGAATATTCTTGGGGGTAAAGGGCGGCCGGTGCGTAGGGCTGACAACCTTGCCGCCATCTATGAGCCAATTGTCTACTTTACGTTTTATGTAGTTTAATTTACATTAAGGAGCAATCATGAGAAGTGGAAATTCAAATTACTCATTTGTGCATTTATTTTAAGCTAACTGTGAAATAAAAACCATAATTCTCAATATGGACCTTTCTTCTGCATAGGACAGTCTTTAAAATAGTTTTAGTTATGATTAGTTGAATTTATTTATAAATACATTATTTATTAGTACTTACTATAGGATTCTGACGATGGTGTATAACACACTGATATATTGGGTTTTTGGACTTTATCCATCGTCCTGGTTTTTAAGATAACCAATAAAAAGACATTTATTAGTTATCTTAAAAACCAGGATGATGGTTAAAGTCCAAAAACCCAATATATCAGTACATTATTTATTATTTGTTAGTTTTTATTGTATAGGATGATGTGGGAGTTTGAAAATATACAGTTAACCTCAAGATTGAGCTATGGCATTTACAGAAATCCAGTCTGTTTACACTGCCTTCAGCTGTGCTAGTTCCACTACATAACAGTGCAGTTTTCATCATGGTCTGTACTGTGACAGTAATTGATTTTTATAAACCAGCATTCAGCCATTGAGTTTTGTTGTCGCTGGATGCTATGATAACAAATGGTTACAGAGAATTTGAAAATAAGTAAAGACCGTGTGCAGACTATTAGGCAGATTATTTCCAAAACACGAAAATCGATAAAAGGGACTAATTATATCTTGCTCATGTATTCAGAGAAACAGTATAAATTGCAAGGTAAGAATCACTGTAATTACATTTAATAGGATTTCTATTTTTTGCTGTTTACAGTCCCTTTTAAACGTATTTGACTCCTCCCCTGGACAAAGTTGATGGACTATAGGACTGGAACATGAAAATCAATATGTTTTAACCAATGAAAAAAAGACCATATAAGTGTAATACACAAATTTTGAGTGTACACTGTTGGAATTTGGTTGACCAT